GGATATGGCCCCAGCCTCCTTACCTTTGTCTGTATCGTCTCATCCCCGTGCCCCTGAGCCCTGCCCAGCTCCTGACTGTGGCTCTCTGAGTGGAGTACAGGCAGTCCCCGACTTACGCAGATCCGACTTACGTCGGATCCGCACTTACGAATGGGGCTTTCTCGCCCCGGAGGTCGGGGCGAGAGAGCCCCGTTCGTAAGCTACTCCGGTGCCCCTGGTCTGCTGGAGACCGTCCCAGACTGAAGCGGCAGCAGCGGCGGGGTCCCTCGCCTCTGAGGCTTTGCCAGAGCAAAGCCTCAGAGGCGCGGCACCCCGCTGCCTCCCCTGCTAGGCAGAGCCCGTGGGCCCGATGCAGCCTGTAACTTGCATTGATCCAGCCTGTTACGCTTGGGATTCCGGACTCCATAGCAGGACAAGCCAGCTCTGGCTTGCTCTGTTGTGGGAAGAGAGAGCCCAAGCCTCGTGGGCCGGATCAAGACATGCCGCATGCTGGGCCATAGGTCCCCATCCCTTTAACTAGATACAAATTTAATCACTAGCAGAACTTAAAATTATCGATAAGGTGAACTGATTTCGAAAGAACATGGTTTTCAAAGAAGAATAAATAAATTAAAACTAAATAAATATTTAGCTACCAGATTGCAGAAAATATCTCAAAAGTAAGTGACATGTTATTGCATATACAGGCAGTCCCCGACTTACGCGGATCCGACTTACGTCGGATCCGCACTTACGAACGGGGCTTTCTCGCTGCTCCGGTGCCAGCAGAGTTGCTCTGCCCCGGGCTTCCTGGAATCAGCTGCTGATCAGTTTCAGCAGCAGCTGACTTGGGGACGCCTGGGGTTCTTAAGTTGATTCTGTATGTAAGTCAGAACTGGCGGTCAGTTTCAGCAGTGTCTGAATCTGGACGCCAGTTCCGACTTACATACAGATTCAACTTAAGAACAAACCTACAGTCCCTATCTTGTACGTAACCCGGGGACTGCCTGTATAGACAGACATAATTGTGAGTGTGTGATGTGAAAAGTTTGGGGGCCACTGCAGCCAATCCTCAAGCCCTCTCTGAGCATCTCCATGGAGTGTCCATCCCCTGTTCCACTTGTATTCACAGATTTGATGTTTGAGAAGTTACTAGTTGCACCTTAGATCACTGTTCGACTAAATACACTTTCCTTATAGATGTAGAAAAACTAGTAGAATTTTATTTGGCAAACTATAGAGATTCTAGCAATAGTAGAAGCATTGGAAACAAAGGTTAAGTATAAAATAAAATTATAATATGCATTCTGGAACCTACATTTACTTACTTAGATAATTTCTCACCCTACAGAGAAAGGCTCAGCAAAAGTCCACCCAGCATTTTACAGCCAGTCTTGGCTGTGATCTTCCATTCATGAGACAAGTCATGTTTTCAGTTTCTTTTGTGTGAGACATTGAGTGCCTATATGCGCACATAGATAAAACCAAACAATCTGTTTTCATTGATTAGAAGGATACCCCTTACTGGTTGTTTTTCCACTTGTACTCCATTTGTGTAGTTTTTTCAATCTCTCATGCTGTCTCTTTAAGCATGAGATCACTTTTTGAATTTAAGTGCAATCCAGGAACTACCTCAAAACCAAACTCCCTTCCCGCCCCTTCTGAGGCCCTGCCCCTTCTGAGGCCCCGGCCCTTCTCCGAGGCCCTCACCCCCCCCTGCTCACTCCATCCTCCCCCCCATCCTCACTCACTTTTATCAGGCTGGGTGCAGGAGTTTGGGGTGCAGCAGAGGTTCAGGACTGGGGCCGGGGTTTGGAATGCAAGCTCCAGCTGGGCACCACTTACCATAGGTGGCTTCTGGGTGGTGGTGCAGGGTACTAAGGCAGGCTCACCACTGCCCTGGCCCTGCACCACTCCCAAAACCAGCCAGAAAACTCTCCATCCCTGCTTTCCTCTGCTCTGTGGAGATAGGGTGAAGGGAGTGGTACCCTGACGTCATTACACCCCCTCTTCCTCCCGTGCC